AGCCATCAAGATGTCCGCACTCACACTGAAGCCAGAAAAGTGCAGATTTGCGTATGAGGAGCTCTTGTTTCTGGGGCACGTTATCAGCAAGTCTGGAGTTCGTCCCGATTCACGGAAAACAGCCGCTATCGCCGACTTCCCGCCGCCCACTGACAAGAAAGCCGTGCGCCAATTTCTGGGCCTGTGTGCCTATTATAGGCGGTTCGTGAAAAACTTTGCCCGCATCGCCGATCCTCTCACTAACCTTACCAAGGCCGACGTGGAGTTTAAGTGGGAAACGCCGCAGGAACACGCTTTCCAGGAGCTTAAACATCGCCTCCAGACGCCTTCGTTACTTGCCCATTTCGAAGAATTCGCCGAGACAGAAATACATACTGACGCAAGCAGCGTAGGTCTTGGCGCCGTTCTTGTGCAGAGGGCTGACGGACTTGAAAGGGTTATTAGTTACGCCAGCCGATCGCTATCCAAAGCAGAAGCAAATTATTTCACAACAGAAAAGGAGTGCCTCGCCATCATCTGGGCTACGTCGAAATTTCGCCCCTACCTCTACGGCAGGCCCTTCAAAGTTGTGAGCGACCACCACGCCTTGTGTTGGCTAGCCAACTTGAAGGACCCTTCAGGTCGCCTCGCACGATGGAGCCTGAGACTTCAAGAATATGACATTACTGTCATTTATAAGTCCGGCAAAAAACACTCCGACGCTGACTGTCTCTCTCGTGCGCCTGTCGACCAACCGCTACCCGACGACTCGGATGACGACTATTTCTTGGGAACGATAACTACCGACGACTTCGCTGAACGACAGCGGGCCGACCCGGAACTTAAAGCCCTAATAGAATACCTCGAAGGCAGGACTGCCGAAGTCCCGAAGGTATTAAAGCGCGCACTTGCGTCGTTCTTTCTACGAAACGGTCTTCTACAAAAGAAAAACTTTTCACCGCTTCGAGCTAAGTACCTCCTTGTGGTGCCTTCAGCTCTGCGACCAGAACTCCTGCAGGCCCTGCACGACGATCCAACGGCAGGGCACCTCGGTGTTTCCCGCACGTTCGCGAGGATACAAGAAAGGTACTACTGGCCACGTCTTACCACAGACGTCACTCGTTATGTGAGGACATGCCGGGACTGTCAGCGACGCAAGACACCGCCGACAAGGCCAGCGGGACTTCTGCAGCCAATTGATCCACCTTGCCGACCTTTCCAGCAGATTGGTATGGACCTACTGGGGCCGTTCCCGACGTCGGCTTTCGGAAACAAGTGGATCGTGGTAGCTACCGACTACCTCACCCGCTACGCCGAGACAAAAGCCCTGCCAAAAGGCAGTGCATCTCAGGTAGCTAAGTCCTTCGTCGAAAATATCGTCCTACGTCACGGCGCCCCGGAGGTCCTTATCACCGACAGAGGAACGGCATTCACTGCCGACTTAACTCAAGCGATCTTGGCATACAGCCAAACAAACCACCACCGGACGACAGCGTACCACCCACAGACCAACGGCCTCACCGAGCGGCTTAACAAGACGATCGCCGACATGCTGTCAATGTACGTCGATGTCGAACACAAGACGTGGGACACCATTCTTCAGTATGTGACCTTCGCATACAACACGGCGGCGCAGGAGACGACGCAGATATCTCCATACAAACTGGTCTACGGAAGGAGCCCGGCAACGACGCTCAATGCCATGTTACCCAACGTCACCGACGAAGAAAACCTCGATGTGAGCGAGTACCTTCAACGCGCCGAAGAAGCCCGACAACTTGCGCGTCTTCGTATCAAGAATCAACAGACGACCGACAGCCACCGTTACAACCTTCGACGACGCTTCGTGGAATACCAGCCCGGTGAACGTGTTCGGGTGTGGACGCCGATACGCCGACGTAGACTAAGTGAAAAGCTTCTGCGACGGTACTTCGGACCGTACAAGGTGGTTCGACGTCTCGGCCCACTTGATTACGAGGTTGTCCCCGATGGCATCACGAACTCTCAACGACGCCGATCGCGACCTGAAGTCGTCCATGTCGCGCGCCTCAAGCCGTTTCATGCACGTTAACAAACTGAAACAGTGTTTTTTTTTTGTATTAGTGTTGTATTGTACTTTATTCATTGTACTTTCTTGCATTATTATTGTACCTTCATCTTTAGTTAAAGCATCGGGACGATGCCTTTCTTCAGAGGGGGGCAATGCCACGTTCCATTTCAGAAGTTTTTGTTATCGTTCCGAAACGCCACACGATTCTCGGCGCAAACCGCGCCTGCAGGTTTCGAGAAGGTTCCGGACTGTAGTAGATTATTTCGATAAGATCACGCCCACTGTGCGAACGGTACAGATTGTTCTGGAACCTACGCCACCGCCAGCGATAACGCTAGAACATTCGACGGCAAGGGTATAAATGCCGACGCGCTTCACCGCTTGTGAGTAGTTGATCGAAGGCCGACGCTGCGTTCGCCGCTATCAGTCCGAGACTGCTATCTGTGCAAGACTGCTGCTGTAATTAGACTTTCCTTTTACCGGGCACAGGTTCGCCCAAATAAACAGTTAAATCCCAACACGAAGTTTTCTGTCTTTGGCCACGTCACGACCCCGTGACAATATATACATGAAATATAACAGACAGTAATGCCAAGGAATGTACAGGGGAAGTTATTAGAACCAATGGAATGTAAATAAGAAGAAAGAAGAAAGAAAAGTGGATGAAAAAATTACCAGCTGTGAGCAGGAATCGAACCTACGACTTTCGAATAACGCGTTCGATGCTCTAACCACTGAGCTATCACAGCGGCCGTCCCTCCATCCACTTTTTGGGGTTTATATGTGAATTCAGAAGTAGGAATGACAGTCAGCGCCATCTATAAGCCAAACAACGAGTGTGAAAACACTCTTATTCGCATGTTTGCCGTCACGTATCACGTGAACTTATTATGAGCGGGCAGCCTATTAATTGTCCCTCTTATACAACCTAAACACACCAAGTCTGCCAGTACGAGACCCTCGTTCAGTGAAATAAGGGAGAGAAGTGTATACCTAAGGGCTCGTATTTCCGTGTTTTAACACAATAATAATGAGATATAACACACAGTAATGCCAAGGAATGTACAGGGGAAGGTATTAGAACCAATGGAATGTAAATAAGAAGAAAGAAGAGTGGATGAAAAAATTACCAGCTGTGAGCAGGAATCGAACCTACGACCTTCGAATAACGCGTTCGATGCTCTAACCACTGAGCTATCACAGCGGCCGTGATAGCTCAGTGGTTAGGAGGGACGGCCGCTGTGATAGCTCAGTGGTTAGAGCATCGAACGCGTTATTCGAAGGTCGTAGGTTCGATTCCTGCTCACAGCTGGTAATTTTTTCATCCACTTTTCTTTCTTCTTTCTTCTTATTTACATTCCATTGGTTCTAATAACTTCCCCTGTACATTCCTTGGCATTACTGTCTGTTATATCTCATTAATATTGTGTTAAAACACGGAAATACGAGCCCTTAGGTATACACTTCTCTCCCTTATTTCATTGAACGAGGGTCTCGTACTGACAGACTTGGTGTGTTTAGGTTGTATAAGAGGGACATTTAATAAGCTGCCCGCTCATAATAAGTTCACGTGCTACGTGACGCCAAACATGCAAATAAGAGTGTTTTCACACTCGTTGTTTGGCTTATAGATGGCGCTGACTGTCACTCCTACTTCTAAATTCACATATAAACCCCAAAAAGTGGATGGAGGGACGGCCGCTGTGATAGCTCAGTGGTTAGAGCATCGAACGCGTTATCGAAGGTTGTAGGTTCGATTCCTGCTCACAGCTGGTAATTTCTTCATCCACTTTTCTTTCTTCTTTCTTCTTATTTACATTCCATTGGTTCCAATAACTTCCCCTGTACATTCCTTGGCATTACTGTCTGTTATATCTCATTAATATTGTGTTAAAACACGGAAATACGAGCCCTTAGGTATACACTTCTCTCCCTTAATAAAGATATATATATATATATATATATATATATATATATATATATATATATATAGACCTCAAACACAGACCACAAAAGGAGGAGAGATTGAGGGGAAAGGGGAAGGAAGAGTGAAAGGGGGCGCCCGGGGGAGTCCACCTTATATTCTTTTTTTTTCTTCTTTTTTTCGCATTGTTTCCTCTTTCTCTCTCTCACCCTATTATTCAAGATTGTATAAAGCTTAGCACCTACAAACTGTACCCTAAATCCTGATGAAGGCCACATTCTAGGTCACGGAGGGTCTGCTTGACTATATATATATATATATATATTTGGTGTGTTAGTCTGTAAACTCTGGGCAAAAATTGGAAATTGGATAGAAATCGGTGGGTGCGCCTGAACGTTGTATTGCCCTCTGAACTCCCGCAAGTCAACTGCACATATTGCTTTTGAAGTTGTTTCGCTCTGCTACGCACTTTTTCTTTACTTCGGTCGCATCCACAGAGCACCCTAGAACTTTATCGAAGCTCTCATTGCCATTGAGCCACGCAAGCAGAAAAAGCTCTAACGTGTACTTTCGTTGTTCGCGTCATGCTGTAGTACTCCTGTAGCTCTCCGCACCCAAACAAAATCGCAGCATGGCAACACCGCAACTAAAGTGAGTCGATAGAGTTGTAGCATTTCTAAGGTAATCGAATGGGTGACCTTTAAGAGTGCCCGTGTGACACAGGTACCAGTCAAGTCTGCCAAACCGCCCACTCGCCCACTTCACTGACGATAACGTCGAGTAACATCTCCACATATCCACAATGTTAACTTTATGATTGTGTTTCTTCAAATTGTGTTTCTTGCTTATTTTTACCTGTTTGTTCGTATTTCGTTTTTAATATTTCAAGAAGTGAACTTAATCAGCATGGTTGTCATGCTGGCCCTGTTATTGTAGTGGTAGGTGTGACAAGTCAAGCCGTCTAGACGCATCTTTTGTGTCACCACCCTTGCTTCTTATGCTGGTTCTGTACCTACGTAGCAATAAACTTCAAAACTTCAAACATACCACCGAGATGGAAACAGCCTCCGTAGACGAAGAGTGGCAGTGCAGCCCTTTCTCTGGTGACCAGAAACGTGCCCATGATTGAAGGGTAGAAGAGTGCAGCATTCCGAAAGAAAGCACTGCTGATGAAGTTGATGGTGAAGCACGCTCCTAGAACGACCCATTTGTTCTGCGCAAGCTCGGGAGAATCTTGAGTGTTGCCGGCGAACTTGGGCGCTGTCATGGCCAACAAAATCCTTCCTCTCTCATGCGGCTTCTGTAATGAAATGGCATTGTATCATTTTGTATTTTCTAGTTTTTTTATGAAGCCATTTAATGCACCATAAAACAGAACCTTGGAGTCTGTCTTTTGATTGATATGTGGGTTTTAACGTCCCAAAACCACCATATGATTATGAGAGACGCCGTAGTGGAACGCTCCCGAAATTTTGACCACCTGGGGTTCTTTAACGGGCGCCCAAATCTGAGCACACGGGTCCACAACATTTCCGCCTCCATCAGAAATGCAGCCACCGCAGCCGGAATTCGACCCCGCGACCTGCTGGTCAGCAGCCGAGTACCTTAGCCACTGTACCACCGCGGCGGGGCGAGTCTGTCCTTTATGCAAGCTTTAAGCGCGAAGCATTTCTTAGCGTACTGCGCCAACTTTGAGCGTCAATATGAGTATCTATCTATCTATCTATCTATCTATCTATCTATCTATCTATCTATCTATCTATCTGTCTGTCTCTCTATCTGTCTGTCTGTCTGTCTGTCTGTTTGTCTGTCTGTCTGTCTGTCTGTCTGTCTGTCTGTCTGTCTGTCTGTCTGTCTGTCTACGTCGGCTTCTCTCGTGATCACCCCCTTACCACGGGGCAAGCTAAAGTCAGTATGGGAGGGTAAGATAGTTGGACAAATATGACTCGCTGGTCAAGACATTATATTGCGTACGTCGCCAAACTTTTTCCGCCAAACGTGTGGCACGTACTCACAGATGGGCATGTGCCGCGGGTATGTGGGTATATGCCACGAGTGATTGACAGTTTACATCCACCCAGGAACGGCGAGAACAGACATGGGTAATTTTAACGCGTGAGCATTGAAGAAGAAAGCTGACATCGGCCACGTTGAGCCAACCAATGTAAGGATTAATGTCATGGTTCCAGCAGAAATAGAACCTCATCATTCTGCGTGGCAATCAAGTCTTCTACCACAGAACCACGCCAGGTCTCGGACGTAGTTTTCAAATGGGCTTTATTGTTCGTTACACGTCAATTCTGGTTGAAGTGCTGACTATCTATCTAATTTTATAAACATTGCATATGTACTCCCAAGATGCAGCGGTCACATCTGGTTAACGTCATTTGGAGTTAGGCGCTGTCCACTGAAGTTTAGTTATGTAGCACTGTCCAGAGCTACTATCCTCGCGAACACCAGCACTCCATGTCAGCTTACCACTTCTGGTGTTGCTAATATCCGAGTTGCTGTTGGCATTGTTATGAAACCGCGAACAATTGGTTATATAAAACAAAAGCGTTCATTTAACGTATGTCTGTGCGTGTATTTGCACATATTCTTAGCACCACATCGTAACTTCTCACGCAAAATAAAGTACAACACAGTCACCTTCCATTGACATGCTTCGCAGAACATTCACTCGCGAGGTACGTGTAATCGGCCTATATATATTTTTTTTTCAAGAGTGTTAGTGAAACAACTTTACTTGGTCCACAATGGGCGTCACCTAACTCGATGTTGCTTGCATTTCTTGGCATACTCCAGGCACTTTAAACGTTTATATCTAAGTATCTGGGCGCTCTCATGATCACCTTTTTAAGTTGGGGCACACCAAATTTTTACGGGCGATAAGAGGGTTTCTTAATCATGACAGTCTGGTCATGACAAAATTAATGTGGAAATCCCGTCGAGTACAGCGCCGAACCTCCTGACACGTGTGGCACGTACTCGTAAACCACAAGCAGGTATCTCCATGGTATACGAGTACGAGTATCTGTCACAGATAAGCGCGCATGTGCTATAGGTGATTGACAGATTACATCTACTGAGGAACGGTGAGAACATAGGTTTGTATTTTAAATGCGAGAGCATTACGAAAAGGTGACATTACCAGCGTTGACTCGAGAGAACAAATTTATACAAATTGCGGTCCCAGAAGAAATAAAAATTAACCATTCTGCGTGACAGTCAAGTATACCACCGTGCACGTGCCAGGTCTCGGAACCACATGCTTTGTAAAAATACCCCTTACAGGTGTAATGTAGGTGAAACGTTGTGTGTGGAGGCAGTGCTCCCTACCTGATGTTATAAGCATTCAATGTGTAGTGTAATGACACAAGTGTCACGTAATCTTGGCGTCATTTTACTTAGGTAACATCGCCAAAGTTTCTCTTCGTAGCACTAGCTATAGGGCTACCACACTCGCAAGCATAAGCGCAACATTTCAGCTTACCGCTTATGATGTCGGTAATATCCGTGTTGTTCTTGGCATTATTACACAGCAGTAGAAAACTGGTTCTGTAAAACTGTTCGACTGTTCAACATACATGTCTGTGCGTATGACATTTGTACAAATGTTTGGCATCATTTCGTAACGTTTCTCTAATAATTATTGGACTACAGTCACTTTCTATCCACATACTTCGCTTGACATTGATTTTCATGCTACATGGGAAATGTAAATTTTTTAAAGCGAAAGCTGCTTTGATATCACAACTCGGGTAACGCGCCACCGTAGTTGTCCGCCGCCGCCACTGGTGTCCTTAACCACATCGCAAGAAATTAGAAAAAAACCTAGCGTTAATGACACAGTAGCGCTCGCACCACTCGCACCAGGGTCCGCTGGGTGCCAGTCCAGTATTCTACCACTGAGCCACGCCGGTGCTTAGGACTTGGTGGCAAACTTGCCTTAGGCAGGCTCGATGCAGGGAAAGGAGTCGTGTTAATACGACTGATAAAGCATTTTAAAACAGCGAAAAAACAACTGGTCGGCGCACATTGCGAATATCGTAACAAGTGGGTCGTTCAATGTTCCACCCCATTTCAAAAGCTTGTCCGCGTTCCCCTAATAACTAGGGCACATACCCCCTTCAGGCATAATTCCTCACCGTCATCAGCCACTGCATGAACAATTGGCTCAAATTTTCTTCCAAATGTTTAGCTGATACCACACTTCTCAGAATAATGATGAAAAATAGCATAGCAATTGCCGGGCTACTACCAAAAAAATTATCAATAATGCCGTAATGGGTATCAATCAAGTGTGCTTGCAGCAGGTACCCGATGAGTCTTTAGAAAAGGCTCTGAAAGGCCGGTCTTCTCGCTCTCGCTGTGACTGTGCTGCGCCTTACGCACAGGCCTGGCGTGTATAGAAAAAGTTTATTCTGTCATGGTATGCAACAAACCTAAGGAACGAGCGTCTGTACAACAAGCACAATAACACACAAACGACAAAGCACAACATCTATTACACATATAAACAAAAGTGTCCAACTCCGTAGGGTGTCCATAGTCCATGGTACTAATAACTACATAGATAATAGTGGTTTTGGGACGTTAAACCTCACAAATCAATCAATCAATAACTACATAGACTACATATATACACTAATCACAATATGGACAATGTACATGATGATATATGTACAGAATTTACAAGACTTTGTGAAGATGTTCGAAAATATGTACAACATGTATCAAAATTCGTAAAAATGACATAACTTACAGCGTTAGAATGAAGTGCATATATACAAGAACTCACACCCGTACGGGGCATAAACAAACACAGAATTAGTAAACATATACAGGTTACATGCACTAATCAGACATTGACAGGTGACCTGGCTATAGGAACCAGGCCAGGTGGAAGACTAATCGAACACGTCTGTCAACTACGGACAGAAAGCGGCACGACCATTGTCGCAGAAATTCTTCCTCCCCAAGGAAGAACAATTCCTCCGACAGAAACGATAAGAGTTTAGAGTATGGGCATTCCAAAATTGGAAAGAGAGCAGAACGACGATGACCTGCCGCAACAGCCCCGCACTCATTACGCCACAAGCAAACAGCTCCCTCAGCTATTAGAAGGTGTGTAAAGCGACTACGCGAGCAGTGACCAAATGTTACAAAGCGATTAGCACCTAGGCAACGAAAACTAGTGTTAACGGACTTCCAAAACACCTTTTGCAATGACACATTGCTTCAGCATACGCTGGTTAGACTCCTGTAATGGGCAGTTAGGACGAGTGGAAGATGGGACCATGCCCCACTTCTGCACTCTGTCCCGTGTTGGGAGTGCTCTCCATCCAAGACACCACATAAAGTCACGGGGGTCACCAGGAAAAAACAATGCCATTATCGCGCTCCACGAGATATGTCTCGATCGTGCTAGACGAGCAGGAGGAACCAGAGGAAGCAGAAGAGACGCCGTTGTATCTACAATGCGGCTTTCGAGAATGTCCACATCGGAACAAACCTGCTGCGCGTGAGGGGCGAAGCTCATTAAAGCGGCACCTGTTCATGCCTCGTCGTACTCGTAGTGCGTAACCTGTCTTACGCGTTGACCTGCAAGGTGGTGCCGGTGGGAGATTTCTCCTGTGAGTTGTTGAAAAATTTTAAAATTCGCAGCATTCGCGTTAACTAAAAGCCAAATTCTCCGGTCTTTCAATCCCAATTAGCAGCCATTGGCATGTACATTGAGCACTATCTGATTCGAAAGAGTTGCTAAGTTATACTCGCTGGGCGTAACCTCCTTGATTTTAGAAAGGTTTAGCGAGCGTTGGGCCACAGTGACATGAAGTGTTTGTTTGTTTGTCCTTTTTATCCTGGTGCAAACCACCATGAGGATTGGCTATGAAACGAACGGTGTCTTGCTAATTAAAAGAAAATGTTCATAATTTCGAAATGTTACGTTTCCAAACATTGCGCTTGATTTTAATAATTTTTAGACGATGAACTTAGCATTCTATTCTTCTCGTCTTCCGAAGAGAGTCGCAAACGGCTTCGCAAACGCTCCTGTGGCTAAAACCCAGCGCGGTAGCCCCAATGGAAAAAAGAACCGGAAGGTATAAATTTAATCTCAACCTTCGAAGCGGTTTGTCTAAAAGTCTTTTCCTCTGATTTGTGAATAATATGCACGTTAAAAAGAAATGATCAAGATATTCACACTGATTGCAATGGAGGCATAAAGGTGAGTGTACCAGACCAGACCTGTGTACGTAAAAGTTCAGTGGAGGGACTCGGCATCGTATTTTG